CAGAAACAAGGAAACATTACAGGGATGGAATAAAATCTTTTCTCCATATTGCTAGAAAACACCACCGATCAGCGACGCATTTCGTTCATTAAATCAATCACGCCTGAAAATCGACTGCATCACATCTCTGATCGGAAAGATTTTCATTATTTGAACTTATAAAACTTGTATGACATATATAATACTCTTATATTCTGTAAGAGTTACAGTGACTTGCAAAACGATTCGCAGTTCAGTCAATCATCGATGATCGGCCAACGATCTTGGGCCCTACAAAGAAGGCATGCGCGACGACCGGGTGGTACTGAATCTTGAAACAAGAAGCGATGAACTCGAAATGACAGAAGTCGCAAGAAACCGACCGACCACAAAATATAAGCGGTATGCATTCACCCTGTGTATCATTTCTTTAATTTGCCAGGTTTTTTCTTAGCGGTCTTCTTCGAGGTGCCGGCACCCCCACCGCCGAACCAATTGGCCATCACCTCAGACAACTCGGGCAGGTCGTACTTGGGCATCTGCAGAGACTGCTGCATTTCCTAAAGCGACAATGGAAGGACTGACAGATCAAATGACTACAGTCGACAGCAGCGGTATTTACCCGTTGGATATCCGGGTCGGAGACATTGGCCAGCTTCGGCAGCAACAGGATAATCACCAAAGACATGATCATCATAAGCACCATTGGGCTGAACAGGAAATCGGTGATCCGCCATTGCTCGCGGGAACGAAAGTACTTCATTGGATGCAACGGCACGAACTTCAGCGGGTACGGCACAATGCTGACCAGCGACGGCTGAAGGTAGTCCACTCGACGGGCGCGAATTTTGCCCTTGCTGGTGATGTCCACGCGAAATTGGTCGAACATGTATTCCGTGCTGGCCACTTCCACGACGTATGAACCCGAAGGCACGTTACGCACCGTAAAACTGCCGTTTTGTCTGAAGCACAATGACGAACACGAAATTAAGAGGCAAATCTTATACTCAAAAATAATAAACGCAATACCTTACGAAAGCAACCAGCTGACCATAGTTAACCAATACTCGACAATTCAATCGCCGACTGGATTCAGAAAACGACGGTTCCGGCGGAAAAATGACACGTCCTTCGATTCGAAACAGCTTATCATGATTAGCATCAGTTTCAAAGGCGTCGCTTCTACCAACATCCTGTTCTGTTCCTATACCATAAAAGGCAGAAAGAAATGCGATGAACAATAAGCAATGCATCATCATTAAATCGCACACAAATAAGTAATCGACAGTATATATATCGGGAATTGATAGTTAGGTGACAAATGTAACATTTCAATTGTATTACTGAAATGTAATGAAAAGAATAAAGCTCGGTTCATTTTATACATCACGCAAACTATATAGTTAGTCGCATGAATGACCAGTATTGGTTTACGGTCTGTATTTGATGGGTCTTTTCAAAAATAAGGAAGTTAGATGATCGGTTTCGAAAGTCTTTTCACTGTTCGCAAATAATTGATACGCGAGGAACAGCTTGATGATTACCTTGGTCCGATGTTCTTGTTAAGTAATTTTTTAGCGACAGAGTGAATAATCCGCACAGAATTCGTAGCCTGTATCCAGATTGATGTTGTTTGCATAACCGGGCCGATGTGTCGTATTAATGGTCAGGTCAATTCGTTCTGCACAAACAGAACATTGCACGCTGTTTTCAGCATCATAATAAAAAATGAAGTTTTTAACTTAGTGAAATGTATTCTGTATAAAAATTACTGATTAACTTAAATAAAAATCGAAGCGTTTTTTGGTTAAAATTAAAAGTTTCCTCAAGTGTGTCTTACTCCTGACCAGTTGGTGAATGGAAAGTACCGAGAGGGTAGCAAATAAAGTGCGGCAGGCAGCAGTGAGACAACTCTGGCGTGGACCGGATTCGAACTCGAGAAGATAGATCCACCTAGGATCTAACCTTAAACCTCTCTCTAGGCTAAGAGGTTTAGTGTCTAATGACAGTTTCATGTCGAAAAGAAAGTCATTGGCCCCTTTAAAGAAAAACACCGCCAGTGAAAAACAGAAAAAAGAAGCTGGAGTGAAACTGGCGCGTGGCTCTTCTCACCAACAGCAGATCGTCAGTGCATATTGTATCCACTAGTATTCTTGCAGAAGGACTTAGCTGCTTGATTGTCTATCGTGACGATGGGAAGGCTATATTAGAAGCGAGAAGGCTGAGCTTGGAAGGAAAAGGCTCGAAAGCGTGGGGAATAGAGGCCGGCCTGCGGGATTCGTCGTTGTTTACCGACTGGTGAAAGTGAAATTTCATGCTGTGGCACAAACACTGTAGCCACCACTTTTTGGAAGAGGCACAAAATTGTCAAGAAATGTAATTGGGAAGAGGAAATAACAAAAAAACAGAATAAGTTTAACATTTTAGCAATGACTGAGATGGCCCAGCAAATAGAACGTATAATATTGGACTGAGATTAGGATGTAACAGGTTTCAGTCATTGCAAATATTACTAACCTTTCGTCTTTCCGAGGTAGGCGAAGGAGCCCAGCACTATAATTTTTTGTGAACATCAGGGACCATATGATATAATGACTGCTTGAAAACTACAAGGTGACATTGGCTGACTACTGGAAATTTTCACCGCATGATAAGCTTCACAGTTGAAGGGTGCCAAAAATGTGTAATATGGGAAACTTATATCCCATCAGGCGCAGACATTTTTCATTCATCTGAAAGGACCACTGGTCGACCAACACAATAACGCGGTTTCGCATTCATGCTGTTCGAGTGATATAGCAAAACGCAGCTGTTATATGCGTTAAATGCTCCCACGAGATTTTGAAAAAGGTGATGGATTAATGCATCGCATTGATTCAAAGAATCGACGGGTATTTGCAATTTTTTATTGACAGAACTGAAAATTAATCCTCTTACTATTCCATGACCATAGAGCATATTACCATCATTAAATGCCCAATGATCGATTCGGAAACTCACCTTAATTATGCCGGACTTACGAAAAGAATCGATGTTGCTCATGATGCTGTGGTCACTGACGCAATGTTACTTTGATTAAATACGACAGCTTTTGTCACCTTCAATGTTACAAATATGCTACAGTGGACTGTCTCAAAGTTAAGGCAATAGCATAATATGGAAATGCAATAACTCTTTTGTTCAGAATCATTGCATTACTCAAAAATGAAAAAAACCACTAAAATGAAATTGTACCGGAGAAGTTTTGGAAGGTCGCAAATCTTCCTATCCAAAAAACTGACCTTGCGTTGAAACAGAAAATTTAGGCCAGTGTCAGCTTCCCGTGTAAACTTCATCTTCATCTTCCATCGCCGCTTCTCCTTTCGGGTCGCGGAGACAGACGCGTCACACAGTGCTTCCAACGTTCCCGATCCCGTGCCAGAGTCTGAGCTTCAGCAAAAGACAAATGCAGTCTGGAAGAGATTCCTTCCATATGTTTGCACCAGGTTAATCTTGGCCGTCCCC